CTACACGACAACTACTGAGCACGCTCCTTCTCTCAGTATGACCATATGATGATCAGCCCTGGGTTCAATAGTCTCAACCAATAGTCAATGCTCATTTTAACTTGTTTGGGTTACCAGATGAGTGGGCGACCTCAAGAAGGGACTTTCTTGCAGCTACGCCCCCACCCATCAGGAGCCAAACTGGGCATCGTGAGTGATTTTAGAAGCTGCTTTACCCAGGTCTGATGAACAGATGTTTAAATAGAGGTGCAAGTCCAGTCCACTTCCTCTGTTTTTTCTGTAAGGACAGCTTCTCACCTGTCCTCTGAAGTGACCACGCCAAAGAACAGATCTGTGTATTAAGGCAGCATATTTACATCTTATCTACACAAACACACACACACATGTGCTCTGTCTCTGCTTTTCAGGATGAAGAATGTTAGATAAGGATGTCAGACAACTGTGCCAGCAATGTCCAAGTCAGCTCGTTTTAAACCAGTTTGAAAAGGTCCAGTTAAACACCGCAAGTTCAGACACGTTGGGGTGGCGTAATGTGACTCGCTCCACTGCAGGGGGCGCTGGTACTTCTACTATTCCATCAACAATAAACTGGATTCTCCCAGATCTGAGTTCACAGGGGTTCACATAGGAAAAGCCTGTTGCCACAGTGTCAAGATGGCGACTCGCACAAATTAACCCCCTAAAGAGTCGAATGCTGCTGAACTGAACACACAACATACAGCTCACACACAGACACACACACCAGAGCTGGTGTAACAGGGTTATAATGTACAAGATGACTAGTTTTTTATGTATATGTGGTCCTGACTGTATCAGGAAGTATGAGCCTACTCAGAGTGAAACGCCCCCTACCAGCAGGAGAGTGTTATTACAGGTGACAGCGCTGCGTCTCTGTCTCCTTTTGTCCTTCAGGTGTAGCCATCATAGAAGATTCACATTGCTAGTCCCCCACACTTGCCAAAAAGAGGCCAAAACTCCTCTTCTGAAAGGCAGTGTCTAAAGCAGCTGCATAACACAGGACAGGTGAATGATTCTGGACTTCTACAGTGGCTATCGCTAATACAGCCCGCATGGAAACTGAACATAAAAACACATACAAACAAACAATAACTGCCACAAAGCTTGGGTTTTGAAGTGAGGATGTGGTGACAGTATCATTACAGCTTGCAGAATCCTCCGCCAAGTGGTTGTTACCATTCATGTGTTGGTAAGACAGAAAAATGTAATCTTGGTTTCAATATTCAATGTTCAGAGTAGCCTGACTTTGTAGACAGTGGTATTAGACAAGGCCTCACATGTATGGCCTTAACATGTAGTAGCAATGCTGAGGCTGCACAGTGCTGCCAGGAAAAAAAAAAAATAAAACATCTGTTGACTGAAATTCCTCTGCAGATTCTAAAGACTGTCAGATTTTAACCCAACAGCAGCCTGTAGTACCTTGACTAACAAACAGCTGATTTAATAAGTGCAGTTCAGATTGTTTTTCCTTTGATACTGTGCAGCCTTAGCAAATACAAACTGGTTATTATTCTCTATTTACAGTGTGGCTTCAATGCCCTCTCCTTCCGCTTCGTAGATACTGTAGACTGGAGTCTTTCGCAGGTTCTTCTCATCAATATCAACTAGAATACAACTTCAAAGCATCACTGTCCTCTGTGTGGTATGCTGGTGTGGGTGTTGGCTCACAGCCCAAAATGTGCTCTGATGATCTCCTAAGTTTGCAACGCTGTCAGGTCAGATATCCATGAGATCTGGATTGGATTTGCTTTCACTTTTTCCATGTTTAATCTGAGATGTTCAGCCTCAGAGTGAAGAATGAATGTCAGCAGAAGATCTGGTGAAATACTGTAGCACTGTGCCATCTTACCACCTAGAGTGCACAGTTAAGACATACACACACACACACACACAAAGACACAAACAGCTATATGATTCTGTAAGTGTTGAGATGGTATATGTGTGAGACCAAAACTCTGCCCAAGGTGTTGGCACGAGTTCTAGCACACTGAAAGGGCCTCATGCAAGTAATGACAGGTCAGAAATACACCTACGCAAGCTGAGAAATTCCTAGACTTCTGCTGTACAGCTGGTTCAAGGCCAACAGCGATTGCTGCAGGTAATTGGAGCCTTGCCTACAATTCACACAGCTGCTGTCTACTGTACTGACACTGTTGTAAAATACATTGGAAAGACGTCATTGCACAAGCAGGGCTGGGTTCCTCAGAACTGCCTCAGCTGAGTAAAGATCATGTTGAAAGCTTTTTATTCGCAGGGAGGAAGGTGAGAGCCGTCCACCAACAAAACACTGGGGGAAACCCTGTTGTACAAGCCTGGATGTGCTTGGCTTGAACATGGCGCAGGAGTTGTTGCACCTCCTGGTGGATGAAAAAGTTTGATTTCCACTATTTTAAGACAAAACGTGATGATTGCACTAATGTGGTTCTGGGGAACCCGCTGGGCATCAGGATGCTGTTACAGTATCTCTCTTCCTCTGTGGTTGCTGCTTCATCCAACAGGGCAGTGGTTTGAGGCTGTCGTTAGGTCAGTGAAGCCAGGATTGGCCAAGGTGTAAACGTTTCAGTTGATGCCACAGCTTCTCTCTCAGGCTTTTCTTTTTTTTTTTTTTTTACACAAAATGAGCATTCAATTAAAGTCTGGGGACACAAAATACCTGCTGGGCTCATGTGAAAACAGTCATTATCTTTATAACAAAGGGCAGATTTTCCACATACAGCATGGTTCTCTTTCAAACTAGTGACATGTATCTAATTCACATTTTAGCCAAAGTTGAATTTTTTTGGTGGATTCCATTTGGAAAAACACACTGACCTGTATAATGGAGTGTTTTTGGCATCATTGTCTGGTTCTGGCTTTATTGTCCTACGCCAGCCGTACAAACCCACCCACCTACCTACCGCTGGAGTTTATACACATTTACAATAATGTATAATATTGTTCAACTACTACTACTTTTGTTTACTGTGTTTTGAAAAAACCTTTGCAAGCAGTTTTTTTTTCTGTAATGCTTTAGCTGGCAGCTGTGGCTCGTGTCAGACTAGAAAGATGACTCATTATCTGCTTCCTCTGTTTTCACTGGCGCTTTGCTCTCCTCTCTGTCACAGCAAAGTTATGGCTTCAAGGTCTCAACATCCACATCCCAGACCCACTGCGCAGATTGAAACTTTAGTCATACAGATGCTCCTCATGGGCAGAGCTGCTGTGGAGGCAGAGAAAGGCTCAACTGTCGAGTTAAAGCTAAGTTAGTGGAGTCAAAGAGCAACAGTGACTTGAATCGAAGGGCCTTCTGTCTTTTATTCAAGATGCTGCAAGTTAGCCAAACTAAGATGCACACAGGTGAGTGCAGTCAGGTTGAACTCGGACGTTCAGTGGGGTGAATAAAACAGAAGCATTACTGCCATATGTGAGGGAACACCATGTCAAAAGCAGGTTTGATTAAATGATTTTATGGTTAATCTTTCAGTCAATCGACAAAAAACTGTTGTGATAATCAACTAATTAGAAAACAAAACACCTGAAGGCATCACTTTAACCTAGGAGAAATAATAACTGGTAATTTTCAATATTTTCTGATATTTTTACAAACTAAATCATTAATCGAGAAAAACAAGATTAAGTTGCTCTTTAGTTGCAGCTGTAGTCATTTTTCAAACTGTCCTAGCTTGGAGCAATCTGATGGCTTCACGTTGAGCTGGATTAACTCGTACTAGGCGGTTTTCATTATTTTCTGATATGCCACACATCCAACAATTAAATAATTAATCCAAAAGATGACTGGCGGATTAGTCATTAGTTGCAGCCCTACAGATCACACAATTCTGTTGGAGTCAGCTATTTTCAAATGATTACTTGGGCATTTTTTGCTGTTATTGTACAGTGACAGTAGAGAGGTGACAGGAAGTGAGAGGAGAGAGAAAGCTGGGGAATGACTTTCAGCAAAGGTCCTGGGCGGTACATGAAACGGGAACGATGCAGTTTATGGTTGTCTTGAGTCCCGGAGACTAGATCATTTAACATTATGTCCCAAACTACCACATTCACTTCTTGCCAATTTCTAAGGAATACATCACTCGCAATAAGCCTGCAGTGAGGCTGCCAAGGCTGCTAACACTTCATCATTTGGTCTATGAAAATGTCAAAACATAGTGAAAATGGCCAGACACAAGTTTTGAGAGGCCAAAGTGATGTCTTCAAATATCTTTTTTTGTTCCAACATCAGTCCAGCACCCAAAAACTCTTCACACTGGAGGAGCTGGTTTCAAAGAACAGCCCAAACTGTTTGATTATCAGCATTGTTTGTCGAGTTAATTAACTTCATCTCAGCTTTGATTAGGCTAATTGTTTCATATGACTCATTCCCTTCCTGAGAAGTTGGACATCTCCCAGAGTTTGAAAGTAGAGCAGTTTTCATGTGTCATGTTAAAGGTCAAAAGAGCCTGTAGAAGTACTCGTCCACGTGGCTTCCTCCTGTTTGTTTCCTTTGCCTTTCCAGTGCTTTTGGTCCAACATCTCTCTTCTGGCTCCACCCAATAGGGTTCAACACAGTCAGGTTACTTCTGCCTCCAGAGCAGCTTCATGTTTTTAAAGACTAAAGCTCTCATCTGCACAACCTGTGCCCCTTACTCTGCCTCAGCCATCCAACATCTTCCTCCTCCTCCCCCCACCACCAGCGAAGTCCCCTCTTCTGCTCTACCTGACTCCCTACAAACACCCTACCGCATTCCTTCTGCCCTCTCCTGTCCGGTGATCAGCCTCTTTGACAGGCACATGGCTCTTTTAAAATTGCTTATGAAGCATAGAAC